ATACAAAATAATATATATATATATATATATATATATATATATATATAATAATAATAATAAAATGGGACAATACTTATATATATTTTTCATGAAATTTTCATCTTTCAAGTTGTCACGCTTTTAATAAGGTTTCTTTTTTTAAAAGCTTAAATAGATATTATTGACGATGACTAAAATCATGTCGTGAAAAATAAATTTAAATAATATTCTGTATATCTTGTACATACAACTTATTTATGGTAATTAAAAAATTTAGTTTCACTGAAAATTATTTTTTAATAAATATAAACGAGAGTCACACTCTTTATTGTCTTATTTTTAATTATAGACAAAAAAAAGTTTTCTCCAACATGATAATATATTAGGATTTTGACATCTAACAAATCCTCAAAATATTTAGGACAAACATAAGTTGTATTTAAGATTAATGTTTCACAACAACATCAATGCTTTACTTTCTTTTTTTTTACTTGGATTGCAAGTAGTTTTATAGATATAAGTAATGTGTGTCCCCCTCAATGTTATCAAGTGATAATAAGTTATGTTCTCATTACTTACAATTTATATATCTGTTATTACACACACATGCACGCATAAACTCAACAAACTATAAAATTGTATAAGATTTTTTATTTGTTTAAATTTTGTAAAAATATATGTATAATTTAAATATTTTTCTTTATTTTGAAAGATGAAATGACACACACAAAAAAATATAAAACTAGATGATAATTTATTGTTTTAAATTTTATAAAAATATATGTAAAATTTAAACTTTTTTTTTGAAACATGAAATGATAGAATAAGTCAATTGTTTTATATTTATGTTATAAATTAAAATAAGATTTATAAATAATATTTTGAATAATTTAAATATAAAATTATTTAAATTAAAAGCAAAACGTTAAAATCAACTATTACTTAAAATAAATTATTCATTATTTTAATTGATAATAAATAATTTGTATTTTATCAACACTTATACAAGATAAGTTTTGTTCCTAAGACAGCACTTGTGTAAGATGAGTTGTTACAGATGTTTAGTATTATCTTTTATCAGTGAAAAAATAATTATTATTAAGTTATTTAATAATGTAGATAATTTGTTCTCTATAATATAATCGTGCAGTATTGACTAATCATATAAAAGCATATTAATTGTAATATATATACTTAAAAGTTAAAAGAGTGAATTTTTTGTTCAAATATTTCAATCAATTTTTCATGAAATATTTTTAATGATATTATATAATATTACATGTCTTATGTATATTAAAGTTTAAATAAAATAATATGTGTAATTAATCTAGTGCAAGTACTTAGTAATAGTGAAATGCTACACTTTAGCCTTTAAACACACTTTATTTAATTCATCAAATTTTATCTAATTTTTTTTTTAATTGGTCTCACACTCTATTTAAATGTCTTTCTTTCCTGATTTTATAATTTTTAATAAATTATAACTAATAAAAATGTGTATACTAGAGAAAATATATTAGAAAGTGTGTTGTTAGCATTTTTTTTTTAGTGTTATTCATGTATGAAGTTGTATATGTTGATGGTAACACTTTTTCTTTTTGCCCGTTGGTTGAGATTTTGCAAATTACAATTATTAATAAGGATTAAAAATATCTTTTTAGTTTTTATAATTAAATTTAATATTTTTTCTTCCAATTTTTATAATTTAAAATAGACATTTTTAATTTAAATACACACACATATATATATATATATATATATATATATATATATATATATATATTCAATCCTTTTTAGAACATGTTTGTTTTAGGTTATTCCCATATTTTGTTCCACGTTAAATAGAAATGATCTCTCACAAAACTTTGACGATAAATGTAACGAATGATAATACATACATATCCTTAGTTTATATAATTTAAGATAATTTTTTTTAATCTTTATACTTATAATTTTTAAAAAAATTATTTTAGTTCCTAATTTTTTTTTTTGTAATATTGTCACTTTTGTGTTGATATAACAAATGTATTAGTTCAACTTTATATATTTTATATTAGATTTATTTTACTTAAATGACTCTAAATTAAGTTATTAACGCTTTATGTTTCTTTTGTATCATTACACAAGACCCATAACCGAGAGTTGAGATACCTTTTTTATCTTCACAAAATTAAAAATATCTACCACATCAACACAAAATAAATATTACAAAAATAATTAATGATAGGGACTAAAATAATTAAAAAAATTAATAAATATAAAGACTAAATTTTTTTATCTAGAACTATAAAGATAAAAATGATTAAAAAAAAATACATATAATGACTAAAAATATTTATTTTAAACTATAAAAACTAAAATAAAAAAAATAAATGAAACTATAGAAACTAAAATAAATATTTTAACTTATTAATAATAAGGTTGAGAGCTAATTTTATTCATATTGTTACACTAATGACAAAATTCTATAACAAAATCAAACAAATTACATGGTGAGTAAAAATATTTGAGTAAAGTTAAGAAAATTAACACATCAAGGAGATGTACAAATCATGTATATAACAAGAAAAAAAGTTAAAAACTATATACATATATATCATAAATTCATAACCATATAAGATAAAAAGTTAAAATTCATAATCATGTATCATAAGATATGCACGCCTTATATTGGATATAAGCTGAAGGTACTCTCGACCGTCCAATTAATTCCAAGAGCCAAAGCCCATAATATGCACTAATGGATCTCATCAAGTCACTCGTTGGATCATATTTGATAGACACATTAATCACTTATTTCATCTAAAATAAATAAAAGGACCAAATTTTGATGGGCCTTTGTATCGTTCATTACCAAAAAAATGGTATAAAACTTCTTGATGTACCAAAACTATAATTTCTGCCGTGTAATTTATTTATCAATAGATATTAAAGTATTAAATATATATTTATGTAACTTATTTGTCAATAGATATAAAATATTAAATAGATATGATATTAATCTATAACAATATATAAATATAAATATAAAGCACAAACTTGTACATGCATTTTCTAGTTTGCTAAAATATATAAGTAATTATTAAGTCGTTATTAATTTTTAAGATAAATATAAGTATTTTTGAGTCACAAACTTTTCAAGTCTTAACATAATATATCATATTCTCTCTCTAAACCTTTCTTAACAACTTATATTAACAAAATCAAATTCATTAGTGGACAAATTTGACAAATTTTCTTTAATCACACTTTAAGAGAGAGAGGAATCAATGCCCAAATTGACAAGTTAAACAAATTTCTTTTTATTTTAATCTTTTTGTAACATGGAAGACTTGTCACATATTGACAAGCCAAACAAGTTTCTTATTATTCAAATATTTTTGTAACATGATGAAACTTGTCCTCAACAATCAAGTTTTACTGTTTTGGTACATACCATAGATTTGTTAGACTTTAATTTGTCTTGTTTTTTTTTTCAATGATAAAAAAAAACCCTCTAAATCTTTTATACACACATTTTCTAATTTGCCAGAGAAAACAAAACGTTATGTTATCCAAAACACTTTGAAATATATTTTATGTTATAAACTACGTACTCTAAATATACTTTTTAAAGTAATAATTATAAAAGATAATAATTTTTAATTATGGTGTAATTTTTTATTATATTACAATCTTTTTTTATCTAAACCATAAATATCTTTTTATTAAACATTTATTAAAAAAACAATTTATTTATACATTTATGAACTGATCAATAGCAGTTATAAATTACATCACAAATTTTATTCGGTGACAAAATTTGCCAAAATATTTTGAGAAACCAAAATACTTGAATATATATATAATTATTTATAATATAATATACATGAAAATTATATATTTTTAAAAAATAAAAAAATAGGGAGCATAACCTTCCCCGTTCCTGAAAAGCTCCGCCACCGATCAGATAATAATATAAAAAAATTAATTTAATTATAAATATATTTTAATAAAATTCTTCTGATAACTTCAAGCTATGTGAATGATATGATTGGTAAAATAACATGCAATCTTATCTTTTCATAAAAATTACGTCATCTCTTATCTAGATCAATGATCATTATATTGTTTTAATGATTAAAAGCAATCATAGAGTATTTGTTGTTGCCAAATGACAATCTCGCAAATGATTTTTAGCTCGTCTTCCTCATCACATACAGCTTTACCAGTACCATTATAGTATATATGACAGGTATAACTGCTTATCATATTTGATTTTTTAAATTATTTTTGTTAAACTGAGTTTGAATTTTAAAAGCTTTTCCAGGTTAAAGAGGAAGAAAACCAGGCTATGATTTGTTGTGCAGGTTCCATGAGGAATAATGAAGGTTAGCTGATATATTATATGATATAATAACGTAATATATAAAATGGTAAGTAATTATTCAGTACCATGTTTGTTGACAGAATAAGGACAGAAGTAACACCTAAGTATGGCAGAGCAAGGACCACCCCACTGAGATCCAAAGGCACAAATTTCTATATTTTTCTTAAGTTAACTTCATGCGAACGGTTACCGTCATGCAAAATCTATTCAAAGGTTGTTTCGCAGTTAATCTTGTTTCAAGTTTTAGGTTTCTATGCCAGAGTTTGCCTTAATTAATTAATTAATTAATTAATATATATATATAT